CTGCCCGCGGCCTCCCCAGTGCCTCGGGACCCGCTGCTGCCGGGGCCGGCTCCCTCGCTCAGCACGAACAGCTCGTATTAGAGGATGCAAGGGGGCTGCGAAGGGTCTGGAGGGGCCATAGGAGGAACGGCTGAGGCACTCGGTTTTTCAGCCTGGAGGAGAGTGAGGCAGAGCTCACCTCTCTCCCTCGGGAGGGGCAGCTCCGATCTCTGCTCTGTGTCACCCTTGGGAGCCGCTGGAGCTGGCTCAGGGGAGGCTTGGGATGGAAACTGGGAAAAGGTTAAAGCGGTCACAGCACCGAGCCTGACAGAGCTCAAGATGTATTTGGACAACAGTGGAGTCTCCTGTGCAGAGCCTGTTGGACTTCCATCATCATAGTGGGTCCCTTCCACAAAATTCTCTGTTTCTGTAACTCTGTGGCCACTTTTAATTAGAACACCCAACATCGGCCCAGCTGCAAAACAATCCCAGGGTTCACACTGCCATCAAACAGGACACAGACATCCCGAGCTGCTGGGTCAGCGTGGCCCAGCTCCTACATCAACAATTTCTATGTCAATTTTATGTCTTTTCGCCTTTATGCTTATCACCAGGGCTCTGGTTCCAGGGTATTGTATTTACAGGTCTTTCACATCTTTAAAGAAGCAAGATGTGAGAAAATCACAGCCATGGTTCTGCAGACCATCCTGGGGCACTGAGCATGTGAGTGGTGCCTTCAGCCAAGCCAGACAGGGAGCATAAATCATAGAATTATTGGAATCATAGAACACCCTGGGCTGGAAGGGAGTCACAGGGATCATCTGACTCCTGGCCCTGCAGAGGACAGCCCCCAAAATCCCACCCTGTGTCTGAGAGCATTGTCCAAATGCTGCTTGAACTCTGTCAAGCTCGATGCTGTGATCACTGCCCTGTTGCAGTGACCAACCACCCTTCTCTAGATCCTCCACCATCTTCATAGCCCTCCTTTAAACACTCTCAAATAGCTTTATATCCTTCTTACATTGTAGCACCCAAAACTGCACACAGTGTTGGAGGTGAGGAATAAATGAAGGAGCAAAGTGCCTGTGCCATGATACTGCCAAACAATTTATTTTGCTTTCAGTGTTCAGTAGTAGCAAGAGCTTCATTGATGCTCAATAATTGTATGTGGGGAGAGGGTCACATTGGCACAGAAATGACGTGAAACAAAGGGGAAAGATGAAAGGGCTGATTTCTGTCCTATTAAACTCTGTACTTCACAGCTGGCATGGCAGGGTGTGATCTATATTATATGTGTGACTAAGCCGTGCAGGAGATGACAGAGGTGTATTCCAGCAGGCAGTGTCCCTCTGGAGAGGTGGCAGTGAAATAATGCCTGGTTCATTGGCCTCCCTGGTCAATTGGATTGCAAATGCCACCCACTTGGTAATAAAAGCATTCTGTGTGTTTTGCAGGAAGTTCTTCGGGATGAGGAAATTTTGACGTGGACACTGTGCAGAAGGCCCCCTAAACCATCTGAATTGGGCATTGTTCCGGGTTTTTTTCATTGCTGACTTTTGTGCACTTTCCCAGTTTCCAACACGAGGCCTTGGTTTATTTCTGTTCAGAAAAAAATAAATAAATCAGTAAAAATTCCATCCAGGCTGGAGGTCAGATTGGTGGTGCGGGCTATTTCCCAAACATTGGTGTGAGCTCTGCTCACATGAGTTATCATTTGTAAACACTGACTCTGTTGCTGGCCCTGCCTGCTCTGAGATGTTTGCCAGCTGCTGCCCAGCCTCTGGCAGATCCCTCTGGCACAGCAGTGCTTCCCCATAGCATGAGGGAAGACTTGTAAAGGACTTCCAAAACAAGAATCACCTCCTGCAGTTTGAGTGAATATATCAGAGGAGAAGAGCCATTAACACAACAGTTTTGGAGAGCTTAATTTTTTTTCAAGTGGCTTCAGGATTTCTTGTTTTGGTTTGGCTTTTTTGTAGGTTTGTTTTTGTTTTCTCCTAAGATGCTTTACTGATATTTCACATGTCATTTGCCTAATTTGGGAATCATTCCTAGGTCCTGGTCTGGAATGTGGGATTTCGCAACTCTGTTCTTCAATGACATCATGTGGTTTGTTCTGAACACAGCAGTAATAAATGAGAGCAAGAGGAGTTTACCAGCCCTTCTATAAAAAACATCTTATCTGAACAGTCATCTTTTGGGGATCTGAACTAATTTGTGGGGTTTAGATTTTACCTAGTAAGTCATGTTTTCCATGTATGTAGGACAAAGATTCCCATTTGGATAACAAGGAAGCAACATCTTGGTTTCATCTCCCCCTCAGCAGTGGCGTCTGTGAAAGCCAGCGCTCCCGAGAGCTTTGGTAGAAGAACACAACTTTGAGAAATCGAGAGGAAATTCAGACAGTGAAAAATGCAGAAAGTATTTGGTTTCCCCTCCAATGAAGCTTGTGTTTCATTCCTGACACAAACACACTCCTGTAGGAGAAGGCTCTGCGGGTTGCAGGGGTGGGAGTTGGTGTAGCTTTTCTCCCTGCTGAGTTTTCTTCCCATTTACACCTGTTCAGTGTCATTACAAGTTGGAGCTCTCAGTAGCAATTGCTCTTTCTGTAGAAAAGTCTGTGCTGGCTAAATAGAAGGAGCGAGTGTGTTTCTGTATGCAATTGCTTCTGAGAATGGCAGATTTCTGTATTTATGGATGCCTGATACAGGAGCAACCTTGTTTGTGGGGAAGGCTCTTCATGCCCTGCTTAGCATTGCATATGAAGCTCAGGCTGCCCCTTCTTTTATGCTCTCAGATGGCCTCCAGGCAGCACCCAGATATATTTTTAGCTCTCAGAATAGGGGAAAATTTGCAAGAAATTGTTCAGTGAAGAAATAAGCAAAGGAGTTGAAGCTGGCTCAGTCGTCAGATTTAGGCAGGCTGGATTTGCAGCAATAAATAAGTGTTTCTGTGAGAGAAATGAAATGTGTACAAAATGAGGCAAACTACATTCCCAAGGATTTGCTGCAGAAGTAATACACCTTCTGGAAAAGACCAGGGTCCAGTAAGGAAAGAAATAAAATGGAGCTGGTAAGATATCTGTGCTCCATGAGCCCACCTCTGACATCTCAAAACCAAAAAGCCAGGCTACTAGCAGAGAGATAAATTCAAGGAGCAATCATCTCTCCATCAGAGGGTGTTTGAGCTTGGATGTCAGACAAGAGAGCACAGGGTAATTGCAAGATTTAATCATTCTTCCAGTGACTATTGCTAGATAACCTCAACCAGCAGTGCAGTAAAACTGCAATGCCTCATCTATCATGAGTGGTCCAAGGGCTGCAAAGATGTCCTATTGCTAATTAAAGACCAATGGTGTAGAGCAAGCAGGAGCTTCAGATATACTTGGACAAGTCTTTGCACATTCCTAGTTAGCACATTACATTAGCCTGTTATTCCTATAACGCTCTAAAACATTTATGGCTTTTTGCAGACATTAAAAGCCAGTGTTACTGCTGCAAAAAGGCTTGTAATTTAAATCTATGATAAGCAGCAGATTCCTTTTAAATGAGGTTGGTGCTGTCATTAAGCTGGGGTGCAGAGATTATCTCTTCAGCAGGTTCTACAATACTGCTAATACACACAACATTGCAGTGCAGCAGTTAATCTAAAGAAAACAGGGAAAGGAAGGACAGCAGCAAACCACAAATCTTTGTTTAGTTTGGATAACAATAATCAAAGAACACAAAAGCCGATTATGACTTTGCCTCCTACTGCTTCACTGCCTATCCATGCAGTCTGTCCTGGCTGGCCTGCTGAACTGCAACCTGAAGGAAACTGACAAATAATTCAATCCTCTTTTCCTTTTTTTTTTTTTTTTTTTTTTTTTTTTTTTTTTTTTTTTATTAAGATTATTTGCAAATTGTGTCCTTAGATTGGTTTTCTTCATTTTAGCTGCATGAAATAAACTCGTCAGGGTGCTAGTGGCTAATCTTGCAGGCTCAGACGGTTTTAGAGGTTCATTGATGATGTTAAAGTGATTGCCAAGTAGCAGGACTCCATCCAGAATTGCAAGTGACCGGGATATGGAATAAACAGAATTGGATTTAACCTCTACACTATCTCCCAGTGCAGCTGAACCATCGTCAGACATGGCACTTATTTTGTCATTGCAGGAAAATAAGTCAGACTGGCTCAAAGGGGAAATATCTGTGCTGTGATAGTGCTTCTCATCCATCAGTACCTACTTACCCATGTCTTAGAAGTCCTGCATGGGCAGAAGAAGCAGGGAATCCACCTGAGCCCTTGTAGGATGCTGCTCTAACACATCATGGTTGCAGTGAGAGCAGCTCGGGATGTCTGTGCAGCCCTCACCAGCAGACATCCCCCTGCAGCGTGCAGCTGATCTCCAGAGCAGCTGAAGGGCACAGAGGTGCCTGTCACTCACATCTCCATCCCATGTGGGATCCATCCCTCTGGAGAAGTGATGCACTCTCCCTGTCCCACACCATATCTGTGATTTGGGGCTGCTGCTCCTGTGTGCTCTTCTGTAAATCATGAACCACCCCAAAGGGCTACAGAAGAGGGAGGTGCTGGGAGTCACACACCTGGCCAAACATCTGTTTTCCGGTCCCAAGAATCCCAGCACCCAGCAGAGCAGGGAGCAGGGATGAGGCACACTGCCTCCTGGCTCTCCAACATCCCCCTTTCAGCAGCAGCAGACTGTAATCCTGGTTTAACTGAGCAGTGCCTGTAATTGTCATCCCAGCACCCGCCTTCTCCCTGGCATGACAGTGATCTTGAGTTGCCTGGAATAATTCCCTGTGTGAAGCAGCTCCCCTGGAAGCTGTGAGATTAAATCCTTGTGGCATCTTGTTACAGGGATCAGCTCATAGGGGATTATGGATGCACAAGTGGCACCCACTCTCTGGGGAAAGTAGGGAAACATCTGTTAACATCTGCAGCCAGGCTTCCAAATCCCTGGTGTGAACAACACCTATGACTTCTCGTGGCAAGATGGATATCAAGAGGAAGGTGTGCTGACCAAAAGGTGTGCTGACAGCAGGAAATCCGTGAGCTCTCACTCTGGTTTATTGCTTGCTAAAAGGGCTGAACCCTGTGGTTTGTTAGTGGAGTTTTTGTTTGTGTTTTTTTTTTGTTGCGATTCCCAGAGAAGGATTTTTCTGGTTTTACTTGAGCATCATGAAGCCTTATCTTTGTGTGGCTAGAGGGTCTCTATGGAGGAGTGAATAAATAGTAGGATTACGACCTTACTAGGTCCAAAAATAAAAGATAAGCAATCAGGAAAGGAAGGATTATTTCTTAAATTGCCAAAAATTCACTGTTGCTTGTTATCATCTATTTAATTTAAATATAAGAAAGACACCAGGGGTAGGAATCGAGCTGCTCAGAAGATTCAGGTATCTCATCACTGTGAGAAAACCTCACTCCTACCTTCCACTCCTTTTAAAAGGCAAAGCAGAAAGGGAAAATGTCTTGATAGTTCCTCAGCAGCAAACCCGTTTTTTTCAACTAAATTTTGACACTAGAGGAGTGGGTGTAAAATATGTTTGTTTCCCTTCAAACCAACTAAATAAATGTTGCTTCCTACCACACAAATTGTCACTTAAGCCAGCCTATGTGAGCTGCAATTTCTACCCATCTCTTGTTTTTGCTTCCTGAAACACCATTTAAAATATTTTTAGCATCACCCCAAATACAGCTGATGATTTTTGGAAGCAGCACTTCAAATGAGGTTGGCTGTGAAGAATTTGCCTGGCACTAAACATCTGCTGTCAGTGCTGTTATCAGTAGAGTGCCACAAACCCTTCCTCACCTGTGGGATGCTAATAGGTTTACTGCAGTTCAGATGAAAGATGCCTAGTCCATAAACCTATCCTGTTTCTCCTAATTTTCTTTCCCCAACCCAAACACCTGTGAAAGAATGTGATGTTTATGGAGTCTGATAGCACTATTTGGAGCCAAACATAACATACAATCCTCCCTAAGGATGCACTGGGGTTCTAGCTATGAAGATTTGCTAATTTAGTCTCTACTCCAACTCCTGTGCCTGCCAAATCTGCCATGCCTCTAAATCCTGATCACCAAAAACCCTATGAGCCCTTCTCCTGAGCCAGATGTACTTACTGTCTTCCAGTGTACCATAAACTTAATTTCAAATCAAACTCCTTAAAACTTCAGTCCTAAATTCAAATCCTCACTGGTAGAGTGAACCTTGCTAGAGCATGAAGCCTCATCCAGTGCAGGGAACAGCATACCCATTCTCTAGGAGAAGGGCTGATAGAAAAATCAACTAATTTGAATTCAGCTCAGAAAAATTTTCTACTTTATGTCATGCTTCCTGCCAGCAGAATGCAAAGCCTTTTTAATCAGACTAAACATTCTCCAAATCCCTGGGCAGTGAGTAATAATGTCTACTTCTATAGTGTACTTCAAAGCCTCTCTTCAAAGCCATCACTACCTGCACAACGCCAAAATGACCTTTATTTCACAGAGAGATAAAGCCACACTGGGCAGCAGTGCCAGCCAGGGGAGGATGGAGTGATGGCACAGGATGCTCTGCACATGGATTCCTATCAGCTGCAGGCAGAGGCAAGGTGGGACAGGCTTCTAGGTCACAGAACAGTGAAATAATG